TCACCCATGACAACCATGGTCCTGGAGCATGCGTCCTCATCCAGTTCCCGGGGGAACTCCTGGTCAAGCTCTTGACTTTGGGTGGTAGGTCTGTCCCCTGTGTCGTGTTCTAAGGTAAAAGCCCTTAGATATTTAGTTCATCCACAATGGCCGCAGACGTTTAACATTTTCCAGACAAAAGAGGAAAATTTACTTGTGAACCTTATAAATTCCTGTTGAAGCAATATATCAAATGGAAAGGCAATTCTGACCAGCCATAAAGGTAGAAAATACTGGATCAGTAGCCCACGAACTTAGTTTCCCTCGCATTTGTATTTGTCTGGACTCAAGAGGTATGAAATACTAGATTTAGTTGCTATGCCTTAAACAAAAATGGCAGTTTCTACAGTAGCTCATCTCTTGGAGGGATTTTAATTTTGCACAATTGACTTATCGTTGAGATTCTCAATTCAGGAGCAATACAAATTTCTGAAAATCTGGTGAGCCTTTTTAAGGTAAGTATATCACAGAAATAAATTATTTCTGGATGTGGGCTGTATGTAATAGTTTTTCTGTGTTACTGTTGACTGACAGACTCCTTTCTTTCACTCCTAGTGCTCTGTGAAAAGTTGCATTACTGCCTTTCACGTCACCTGTGCCTTTGAGCATAGCTTAGAGATGAAGACCATTTTGGACGATGGGGATGAGGTCAAGTTCAAGTCATATTGCCTAAAACATAGCAAAAACAAGCAGAATTCACTGCCTGATGTTGATGAGAACCCTAAGAGCATGGCAGACCAGAAGCACACAGAAAGTGAGAAAACCAGTTTGCGTGCTCAGAAACTTAGAGAGCTGGAAGAGGAGTTCTACACACTAGTTAAAGTAGAAGATGTTGCAGCAGAACTGGCCCTTCCGAAGCTTGCTGTGGACTTCATCTATAATTACTGGAAATTAAAGCGGAAAAGTAACTTTAATAAACCATTGTTTCCTCCCAAGGAGGATGAAGAAAATGGGTTGGTGCAGCCAAAAGAAGATAGCATTCATACCCGCATGCGAATGTTTATGCACTTGAGACAGGATCTAGAGAGGGTAAGCACTTGAATGGTAAAGGCTTGAGTGTGTATCTGCAGGTGAGCTAGGTACTTGCTTTAAATGCTGCAATTTGGGGTGGGGAGGGAGAAATATTTGAAGTTTAAACATGTTTGTTTCTTTGCTTGTTGCTTATAGAGACGTAAATAGGACTACAGGACTTGCAGATTACTTTCAGGGTATCTTTAAAAGGAATGATTTCCTAAAACATCCAGGCAGTTGTATAATCTTGGTTTACAGTTTCCTATGATCCCTAAGTATTAAGTAACTTCTGAGAAATTAACTGTTGAGTTATAGGCTACAGATAAATGTACTTTTCATTGCTTTACAAAGGGAAGGGGTGTGGCTGCTTGGTAGCATGTGCCAGGAAGACACAGACAAAAAATAGTAGTATCTTGAAGAGAAGTTAGTCAAGCCACTGTAACAAAGTTGCAGTGGTTTTTGCAATTGACTAGTCATTTGATATTGCTACAGTCATTGCTCCTGTCTGTACTCTTGCATGAGTGAAAATGTTTTGTCAATTCTAACTTGAACATAATATTCTTAAACTGTCTTAATTGCATCTTAAAGCATTCTAAAATGTCTTATTGTTTGTAGGTGAGGAATCTATGCTACATGGTAAGCAGAAGAGAGAAACTAAAATTGTCTCATAGTAAAGTACATGAACAAGTCTTCAACTTGCAAGCTCAGCTCACTAACCAGGAGATTGCTGCAGGTAATTTATAAATACAGCATAACAGTAGAATCGTATCTGCTAAAGATTCTATACTTTCACTATGTCCCATGACACTTAATGCATTAAAAACTTCAAATCAGCAAGCTTAGGGAGTTCTTATAAGTATTGTTTTGGGGTTTTATGTTTACAGTAGATATCAATCACTAGGGTAACTAGGCACCACAGCCGTGTCCGTCAGTTAGGGATACTGCTCTATATTCCCTCTCCCCCCACTCCCACCCCACCCTAACATATCCTGCACCCTCTTGTCTCTCTCTTCAAGTGAAGACAGGTTTTTAGCTTGTTGCTCATTTCCATTGAAGGGAGTGTGCAACAGCCACAATATTCTCATACTCGTAAATGTTTCTCAACTTGAGACTTGCAATTTATATTCTTCCTTCTACATGTCTTATCTATAGAATCATAGAAAAGTAGAGCTGGAAGAGACCTCAGGAGATCATTTAGTCCAACCCCCTGCTCAAAGCAGGATCATCTCTGACTAAACCACCTCAGTCAAGTGCCTGTCTAATCCATTCTTAAAAACTTCCAAGGATGGAGATTCCAGAACCTCTCTGGGTAGCCAGTTCCAGTGCTTTACTACTCTTATAATAAAAACTTCCCTTACTGCAATTTAAGACCACTGCTTCTTGCAGTCTCTTGCAGCCACAGAGGTAGTCAAAACCTCCGTATAACCCCCCTTCAGGTATTTGAAAACTGTTATCAAGTCTCTCCTCAATCTTCTCCAGACTAAATAATCCCAGTTCTTTCAGCCTCGCCTTTTAGAGGTCTGGGAAACATGACTTAATAGTTTTTGTTCCTCACTGGACTCTTACCAGTCCGTCTGCCTTTTTGAAGTGCAGTGCCAAAAATTGGACACAGCACTCGAGGTGAGGCCTCATCACTGCTGAATAGAGTAGAAGAATCACTTCCCTTGACTTGCAAGTGATGCTCCTATTAATACAGCCTAGTATGCTATTGGCTGTTTTTGTAAGAAGACCATCTTATTGTCCTGTATTATCTCCAGGTCCTTTTCTGCAGGACAGCAGCCTAGCTGGTCATTCCCCAGTCTGCATTTGTGTATGCAGTTTTGTTTAGTTCTAAGTGTAGGACTTTGCACTTGTCCTTTTTATTAAATCAACTCTGATTAATTTTTTACTATTTCTCCAAAGTTATCAGTCATTTTGAATAGTAGGCCTTCCCTCCAGAGTGCCTGCAACTCCACCCAACTTGGTGTCATCTGCAGTTTTGCTAAGGGTTCACTCAGTCCCACCCTCCAAGTTATTAATGAGGATATTAAACAATACTGGACCCCGGAGAGACACAGGGGGAGTGCTGCTCATTACCTCCTCCCTGAATAGATGCTGAGTTATTAATGAATACTCATTGAGCATGGTGATCCAACCAGTTAAGTATCCACCTTACAATACTTCCACATAGACTGTGTTTCTTTTAGTGTACAAATGAGACTATTATGGGAAATGGTTTCAAAAGCCTTCCTGAGATTAAGGTGCATCATATCCACTGCTCTACCTCCATCCACAGAACCTATCTCTCTTATCATCGAAGGAAATCATGTTGACCAGGCATGATGTACTGAAGAATCCATGTTGGCTGTTTCTGATTCTTGTTCTCTTCCAGGTGCTTAGAAGTAGGTTCCTTGAAGACCTGCTCAATAATCTTTCCAGATATCAAGGTCAGACTGAGTGGTCTGAATCTTCCTCCTTCCCCTCCTTTAAAGGCGGGCATATATTTGTCCTTTTCCAGTCATCTGGGACCAAACACAAGTTCTGTGAATTCTCAAAACTCTCAGCAAGAATTTTACAAAGAAGGTAGCCAGTGGTTCTGAAATACTCAGCCAGCTCCTTCAGTATTTTAAGATGCATCAGGCCTGCTGACTTAAAAACAACATTCAGCTTCTCTAAATTATCCCAGACATGTTCTTCCACTATACTACGCTGATTATGTCCTCCTCTGTCCTTGCAGCATTTGTCAGTGGATAGTAGACCTTATTCCTGAAGACTGGAGTAAAAAGAACATTAAGTACTTCAGCCTTCTCTATGTCACCTGTTACTAGATTGCCTTCTCCATTCAGTAAAGGGTCTGTGCTTTCCTTGGTAGAATTTGGAGGGTTTTTGCCTGTTATCCCTTTTGCTAATTGCAACCCAGTTTATGCTTTGATCATCCTGATTTTCACCCTGTATGTCTATGTCACTCCTGTACTCTTCCCTAGTAATGTGACCACATTTCAACTTTTTCTAGGCTTTCCTTTTTAATTTTCAGCTTACTGAATAGTTCACTGTTTAGCCAGGCCAGACTCCTACACTTTCTATCCTTTCTTAGCACTGGGATAGCTTGCTCTTGTGCCTTTTTAATATGGTTTCCTTAACCCTTTCTCTTGGACTCCTGAATACTGTGAAGGACTCTGACTTGTAGTAATGGGAAGTTGCTGTCCTGGAACACTGATGTACCACAATCCACCTTCGCTGCTTTATTTTTCATGAAATAATGAGCATTACATTTGAACTGAGTTAGAGTATGTTATTTGGTTTGATGATTTGGAATTGAAAAATAAGTCATGCCTGCAGTATACAATAAAAAATTGGGAATTTTCATATTATGGGAATTGTTTTAATGTTAAGATTCCTAAGGTATCCTATAACCATTTAAAAAAAATTCTTCCATCTTCCCTCAAACTTTGAAGAAGTTTCATTTAATATAGAAGTTTCTTCTCCTTCCCCACTTTCCTCCCTCTGCCCCCTCCAGCTAATTAAGTCAGAAAAAAGTCATAAGAGAATAAAAGTACTTGGAGTATTTTTATGTTTAAAATTCCTATTAAATTAATTTTGAGATTTTTTTCTTTATAATATCTGACTACTATTGTCAAGTTAGAAGAGCTTGTTGACACAGTTATTGAGTGATTCTAGTGGATGTGTGCATCTCTAATATCAGGCAGCCTCTAATGTAGTTTGCTGGGTAAAGACATTTTTCAGGAATATAAAATTGTATGATTAAAAGATATAAAAGGTGGGTACAGTATTTTTAATAGAACTTTTAAAGCTTCTACATAAGTTCTACTTTGGATACTTTGGACTATTTTAGTTTATTGGCTTCTCCTTAATAGTAAAAGTTTTGTATTAACTGCTAGTCTGAAAGTTCTTAATGCACGCATCTCTTGTAAGCAGGGAAATTAGCTGACCTTAATATAACTCTTGTCTTTTTTTTCTGTTTCATTTAAATTATGTACTTTCTGTTTTCCCTATCTCAGGCCATACTCTGACAAGTGCACTGGAAAACACACTGTTTTATCCACCTCCCAGAATCACCCTGAAGTTAAAAATGCCTAAATCAGCACTGGGGGATTGCAAAAATAACTCACTGAAACCTGGCAACAGACCCCTTTCTCCTGACAACAATACCACTGTTTACAACAAAAGGAGTTTGCAGCTTTCAAAGGAGTCGTTTGAAATTAAAATGAAATCTTACTCAAGGTACCAGCATGACAACCGAAGTAACGGGCTGCTGGGAGGAATTAGCAAGTCTAGGAATGAAACCAAGGATTTAGGACCTGTACAGTTACCAGAGTTTCCTCGTGGGCAGCCATCTGGTAAACCATTAGCACTTCAAGCTGCTTTGCATGGACAGTCTTTGATTGGCAATGGAAAAATGCAGCAAGAGAATGCAAGACTAGTCAAATCCAATGGTTTAATGGGAAGGTCAGGGGATGTTATTCAGAGAGACAGCTCCAGCCAGACGCCATATGAACACGATTCTCTGCTCACTGCTCATTTGGCTAGTCAGAGCAGCTTTAGAAAATCCACCATAGAACATTTTAGCAGGTCCTTTAAAGAGGCAACCAACAGCTTGGTGAGGACCACAGAAGATCTCAGATGCTGTGAAAAGCCAACAAGAAGGCTTTCAACTAAAGAACGTTTGTGGAACAAGCAGGTTCTTGAAGGAGCTCCTTACCAAGACAATGATGGGTATTGCCCCGATTTGGAACTGAGTGACTCTGAAGCTGAAAGTGATGAGAATAAAGAGCAAGTCAGATTAAGGAGAAGCAGCTCAGAGAGGGGAAGCCCAAGTAAAGATTTTGGTCGAGATTGTCACAGTAGAAACAAAAAAAATATGATTTCTCACAGTTCAGTTCAAAGGTGATTAGAACCTTCTATGGGGGTAACTCAACCTTGGCATAACCCAGTGTGCTGGTGCAAAAGGGTTTCCGACTACAGCACAAGACCATGTTAGGAAGACATGCAGTAGGAAAGAGGGAAAGAGCAACTGGAGTAGTGTTACAGCTGTGAATTGGCTTGCCATTTTGAGGTGGTTAATCAAGTTTTTCTGCAAGGTCTTATGGAAATCAATGAGTTTTTTCAGGGTTAACATCTGGGAAAGGTTGGAGCAGTGAACCTTTGTTATTGCTCCAGGGAACTGCTTCCGTTTTGCCAGCTTTTGTGTAAGACAGTGCTTACAATAAATGATGACAGCTTTGTGTTGGAGACAGCTATTAAAGGAGTCCTTGCATTAATGTGTAACATGCTGCAAGAGACTAATGTGGACAGTGAAGCTGCATTCCCATTGCACCTGCAGTGTGGCCTTGATCCAGCAGAGCACTTAAGCATGTGAATAGTCCCATAGGGCGTTTATACACATGCTTTTTCGGTGCTGCGTATAAGTAGCAAAATGCGCGTCAGCATGAAGAAAATGGCAGCGTGCTTTTGAACTAAAACACTTTCAATGTGTTTTAGTTCAAAAGCATGCTGCCGCCATTCTCTCCACACTGATGTGCATTTTGCCGTTTATATAAATGTATGTGCCTCAGCAGCGGGCGCTTTTAAAGACGCCTGGTGCTGCAGCACAGGCATGTGTACAAATGCCCGTAGAGTTCAGTGGTGATACTTGGACACTTAAATGTAAAGCCCTTGTTTAAGCTCTTGGCTGGATTGGGGTTGAAGTGACTACTAAATGGAGATCTTGTTGGGCAGAATGTTTAGAACTCCAGTGATATTTGTGAACCCTTTTTCAGGGTGGAAGCAAACGTCACCAATGCTGCCAAACTTACTGACCTCTAGATATGCCCCCATTCTTTGCTCATGCTAAAGGTTGTGTTTCCCTTTACAATAATTTGCTTATTTTGTAAATATGCAACTTCTAGCGCTTCAATTTTTTAAATCTCTGTATATAACTGCTTGTTGTGGGATGCACTTGTAAATATTTTACCCAGCTAACAAGTACAGATGGATAATTTTGTGAATAGTGTTTACAAAAGTAGATGTACTACTTCAAAGAAGAATGCTATTTGACACCTAAATTTAGGCGATCATGGATGGTGCCAGGTCCCTCTTGAAACTGAGATTTCATATCTGGAGGCAGATATACCTGGTATATTTTAAATAAGCTGAACTAGGAATCTTTTTGTAGAGGCCAAAATTTTCAAACTTAGCTACTGAAGTACAAGTTTAGGAACCTTAACTTCTGGCATCTCGGTCTGAAAAAATGTAGCCAGCTGTTAATTGAAAGTACATTTTTTATTACTAGTGGCCTAAACTAAATTACAGTTAAGATGCTTATCAATCTCCAGTTAGTTGCTCCTTCCCAAACTAAAATGCAGTGCGCCAGTCCTAAAATTTGCCAATGCAAATTGTAAACTAATGTGGAAACAGTCAACCAACCACAAAAAATATCCTGTTTTGTTCATTACTGTACACGGCTTTGTTTTTTGAATAAAAATAAACTTACGTTTTTCAGATATTGTGTTAACCAAGAGATTAATTGCATTGTTCTGCTGAAATGCTATATATTTTTCAGTCATAAATGTGTAAAGCCCTGTCCCACATCAGGGGCTGGAATGGGACGTATGTTGCATAGAGCTCCACATAAAACTCCTTTGCCTTGTAGTAAATTTCACCTCAAAGACAGATATTTAACACCCAATGTAAAGAAGTCTACAGAATGCAAATTGCAGCTTCATTTTTCTTCTTTTTTTCCCTTCATAGTCCTAATTCATTTTGTGGATTTTAGTTTGGGAAAGCACAGCAAAACCTTTTTTGGATTATTTGAACTGGAAATTTTCCTAACTGCAATAGTTATCTACCTGGGTCTGGAGGACACTTCATTAATGAAATAAAAAAATATACTTGGCAGTTCTGCACTCTCTGCTTCATGCATCCTTATGATTGTTTTCTTTCACTTCTTGATTTTCTGTATATCTGTGTAATTGTCTTTCTAGAGGTGTATTTTCAAAATATTTTGCTGTAAATATGCAGTAGCATTTTTAGGTTTCCTTATATTTTCTTTTAATTGGAAATGCTTTGTGTTCTTAAGCCATGGGTAATTCAGAATGAGTAAGCAAATGCCTGTTCATTTGTACTCCAGCTCTGATTCTCTTAGTTCTCCTTCAATATTTATTATTAATCCTTTACTGGTCATGAAATTGTATGGAGCTCATCTTGGGAATATATTTATCTCAGACGCCAGCAGAACAGTATGCTCTTTCATGCCCAGTAGTTATATCTGTCAAAGGTTGGGGAAAATGGTGCTTCAGCAACTCCAGAGTCTCTGCTGTTTGGGGGATGCTCACTCAATTGTTTCCAGCCGGGGCAATAATCTTGTAGACATTTACAAGATGTTAATAGATACATGAAGGAGTTCTTGGTTATGTAGTTCTCAAGTACTGTCCCCAAAGTGCATTTGCTAGTTTTTACTGTGTGTTCGGTGGCTAACTGTTTGAAGTATTACCTCTTAACCTTATTTGTTAATTTTTTTGTTTTCCATTTTGTTTTTTATTTATATATATATAAATTAAATTTATATATGTGTAATTTATATATATATAAATTGAATTCAGTTTTCCAAGATGGACTCAGTCTTTTTCAGATATCCCCTTTTTACAAGTACTTTTTCATTAAATTATGAAACTAACAGTATTTTCACTTGTTGTGATTTGTTCAGAGCTTTATCCTTGGCCTGATAGGATGCTAAACTTATTAGTTAACCAAAACCAATTCTACTTCTATCAAGCATGATTTATTTTTAACAGGCTTGGCAGCATTTTAACAAGCTGGAGTTTCAGCAAGTCTGTTTCCTTGTAAACCTCTCGGAAGAGAGATGTCAAAGGTGGTGACTGAAGGTGCTTTGGATACTGAACTCAGCTGTATGGTACACAGTCTGTTTAGCAAATTATTTGCATATATCCAGGCAAAAAGCAGGCCATAACAAGCCTTAAATTGTGGGCATTTTCCCCTCATTTAATACAGTTAAATAAAAGGAAGGTAGGGCTGGGAATTGTAAGTGGGCCTTGCACCTTTATTCCTTCATACACAGCTGTAGGGATGACTGGTTCATATGGACTCAAAGTGCCATCTGGGTTTTCTATTCTTTTGTATCACCTGCTGCCACTGGCTGGCATTGTGGAGCACCTGGCTGCTGCTGAGCCACTTCCAGCCTTACTGCAAGTAGAGTTCAGAGAGCAAAGGACACAGAACAGGGGATGCCAGCCTCTGTGGGGCTAATCCTCAAAGCAGGATGGCAGAGCTGGCTTCACGTGCTTTGTTAGCTTTGTTCCTATTTTTTCAGATTAGGCAAATGGATAGTAAAGTGGGAGAAGAGACTTCTGAGGCTGTTGGAGGTGTGTGGTTGGGTAGAGATGCATCCTGGCACATCCTTAGCATGGGAAGAAAATACCTGACGGCAAAAAAATGGACGTTCCCGCAGCTGAGTCCCTACCATTGGGCTGAGGAGCCATGGCAAAGGTGGCGATGTCTTAACTGCCTAATTATCAGAGTCGGACATTGCAAGGAACTAACGAAGAAGTGGGGCTATACCATTGGTTCAAACGCCTGTGACTGGCACAGAGCCTCAGACTATGCAACGCCTCCTGCAGTGCCTGCTACTTGAAGGCATATGTACAATGAAAAATCTTGCCAAGTACAATAAACAAGCACAAGTATGTGCAAAAAATGGTCAAGTGTGGTGTAGAGACATGAGGGGAAGCATCATGGGAATATCTGGATGGGAGAGTTTGGGGTGGAAAGCTGTGTAGAAGTGAAGTGGGAAACATTCTCAATCTTAGGTTGAACAGGACAGCATTTTTCAACAGCAGGGAGTTGACTGAGTTGAGGCAGGATAGCTAAGGTGGCTTGAAGGATCTTCAGTGGGGAGGGAGATGCAGAAGGGTAATGGAGTAATTTACTAGGAGAACCTGTAGCATAAAATCTGGATGTATGGGGGAAGGTTGGGGACAGAAAAGCAAAATGTAAAATGGACACGATGATAAATGCCCTGCCCTTCATTTCCTAGTGCACCAAGGTTTTTTCATTCCTAGCTGGAAGGTGTATCACTTTTTCCCTCCTGCATTACTACCAACCTTCCTCGATCCCAACAAAAGACCTTCTGGTGACACCCATGACCAGTTCCAAACGTACGCTTTGAAAACAGGTTCCATGTCTAGGGTGAGAGGCAGGAAATGGAGGAGAGGGAGCAGATTGCAGCCTCAGTACCAATTTATGGTACAGCTGTTGTTATGAGTTGGGATTTTAGTAAACTGAGTTTAGGATGAACTTGGTTTCACCGTTTGCTCAGAAAGATTGTCTTCAGATGCTGACAAGCGCAAATAAAATCTGTCCTGTCCTCCCAGCATCATGTTTCCTGGAAATGCCCCTTTTTTGCTGAAGGAACAACTTTGTTTCACACTTGTTGGTATTTGTGCTTACAAAGCTCCTTTTGCACTAAGGATCTTAACTCTCAGAGGAAGATTTTAAATGTTAAAGTAGCTTAGTCTTGATTTAATACCTCTTTTGCTACACGTGTTTTATCTATATAGTTTTATACATGCTTTTATTGAACTGGTGAGCCTGGGGAGTGGTGCATGGGCATTTGGCAATGCCATAAACCCTTTTTCTAGGTCTTGCAGGTCAGAGTTGTCCAACCTGAAACCAGTTGTCTCTGTATTGAATCTTTCTCAGCCTAGCCCTTGTGAAGGTGTAACATTGGGGAAAACGGTGTTCTTGGGTGTCTGAATGAATCTCCTCCTGAATTGGGAGAAACATCCTACATTGCTTGCAGCCTGCTCTGTGACTTATGAGTCCAGGTCTGTCAGGTTTTTCTTCACCGATGCAGTCAAGGTAGTCCCCTAGCTTGATCTAATGCACTGCCCCCTGTAACTTCCCCCTCCAGTTCCTCAGGGTCTTTTAGGTGTTAGGCCTCCTTGGATCCTATGCTGGAACCAGCCAGATAACTCCTCTCCCAAGCTGGTGGATCATATGTTGTTACCCAACTCCTTTGATTAGGATGCTTCTTGAGGCTATCTTATCTTTATTCCTGCTCTACTTCTCTTGTAAGGCTCTGTGATGACCTTTAGTTTCCTCTTTCTTTAAGTATATAATCCAGACATTTTACCACTTTGTGGGATCCTGCCCCCACTGGAAGAAGTTCTTAGTGGGGTTACTTGGGGAGGTCCTTCATCCCCCCCCCTCCTGGCACTTCATCAGGCTAACATAGAACTAGTACAGAGAACCCACATTTTTGGTCATACAACAGTCTCCTGTGCTTCGTCACAGTTACACGTTTGGATGTAGAAGCTTAAAAAGCGGTTTCAAGAGGTATCATTTAGCTCTCCCTCTTGGTTACACACCTGGGTTACATGGGGAGTTTTTCAGGAATCCCTGCACTCCTGGTTGCCCCAGAACCTTTGAGTTTATACTTGACCTGTCACTCCCTGAATATCACCTCACTGGGCACTTTTACACATGTAAGTGCTGCAGCACCAGGCACTTTGAAAAGCACCCAGTGCTGCAATGCTTCCAGTTGTATAAGTGGTGAAATGCACATCGGCGCTGTGAAAGTGGCGGTGGTGTGCTTTTGAACTGAAATGCATAGAAGGTGCTTTAGTCCAAAAGCGCACTGCTGCCATTTTGTGCGCACTGATGCACATTTTGCCACTTATACTACTACATACAACGCAGCGCAGCACGTCAATTCGCATGCAGAGCAGACTCAAGTCTGCTCCGAAGCAGCACATCTCTGGTGCATCGTGGGATCATAAAGTATGTGTATAAATGCCCATTAACTTCTACTGGGAATCATTTGGGACGGTTTGCATGAACATAAACTGTGGCACATCCACAGTTGTCTGGGGTACAAAATCATCTAACTTGCCCACCTGACAGTACATCTCTCCAGCTTTGGGCCCCAATAAGTGAGGCAATAAAGCCTGTCTAGAGGAAAACCCTGTACCAAATACCATGCATCTGATGCTTCCGCTCAAACTCCTGAAGTCCCTGTTTCCAGGTCTCTGCTGCCTCAAGAAACATGATCTAGACTAGACTTATCCACAGCTCTGTTTAGAACATATACTCTGGATGTTGTGCTTTTGGAGCTGACTACCCTCAAACTGTCTCCAGGGAACGTGACCTTCTCCAGTGTCCCAGATCCCATTCTACCTTTCCTTCACTTCCCCGGCCTCTTCAAGTAATTTTGGCTTCTGTCCTGAGTCGTCATTTGGAACTGGCCCAGTGATGTTGAAAGCATAGCAAATGCATCACTTGGGCCTTGCTTATCTTTAGGGGATGTAATGCTCTTTCTGAGCAAGTCTGTACTAGCAGACTTTAAAGAAGCTGTGCATAACTCTTCCCCCCCACCCCCATCCTGCATTCCTGACACTTAACTCACTTGTTTTTGTTCTGCTAATGCTGGTTTTTACTGTAGTTTGTCTCTTGTTGCAAGGCTCCTACCTCAGTCTCCCACCTGTACCACCAAAATGCTATGGTCACTTTGCTAGCTTTATTTGCTACCCCTCCTCAGGGTTTTAGCCCATGCACTCCTACACGTGTTTTTACTTCTGGTCTGGGGTACTGGCCCACTCACTGGGTAGCACCTGTAATTCCTTCCACTGAAGTCCGGTCCTGCAAGGGTTTTCTTTGGGAGTCTGTGATGGATGCTGACTAAAAGGACTTGAAGACAGCTTCTTCAGAACCAGCCATGATTTTTTTTCCAAAAACAGTGTTAAACAAGGGCATTTTAAAGGGATAGCGTACTAATCCTACCCAGCCTTTAACCTATTTATCACTAGCTGAGGCGGGCCTTGGTTTTCCCTACGTGAATTGGGAGAAGCTGTCCAGTTCTCTGTGCATCTTCCTAGCCTGTCAGGTCTTTTTTTTACTGAAACACCCTAGCCTAGGCAGCCTTCCCTTAACTCACTCTAGCTCCCTTTTTCTCACCTTAGGCCTTTTTTTGTTTTTGGTTGTAGCTGTGTTGGTCTAAGGGCACAGGCAGGCAAGGTTCTTTGGTTAGATGTGATATCTTTTTATTAGACCAACTGAGTAGTTGGAAAAAATGTTCTTGGCAACCTTTTGAGTGCAGTCACCCTTCATCAGTAATAGGGAGTCTCTGCTGGTCTGAGACTCCAAGGAATGAGAGAAGCTAAAAGTGTGGTAGGGCGTCAATGAAAATGTAAGTAGGTAGAGATAAGCAAGACAAAAGGTAAAGCAGGGGAAATAAGCAGGGAAAAAAAAGTTTGGAGAGAGACAACTGATAAAATACAAAGTGGAAAAGTCTGTGAAAAAGGGAATAATTGGAGATCAGGAAAGCAGGAATGGGAGAAGCTAAAAAAGTGACAGGATGTTAGTGAAAATATAAAAAGGTAGAAATTAGAAAAACTTAAGCTTGCTAAGCACTTTTTTCCAACTACTCAGTTGGTCTAATAAAGTTCTTTGGTTAGATGTTATCTCTTTTGCCTGCCTTAGGCCTCTTTGAAGTTTTAGGTCTCCTTTGATCCCAGGCTGAATAGACCCAGCCAGGTGACTTCCCCACTCCCAGCTGATGTCCCCCAGCCACTGCAATTTTAACTTCTTTGTGCCTGGGTCCCCAGGGCTGTCTTACCAATGCTATCATTTAACCATTCCTGTTACATTGTTATGGAAGCACTTTTCATCCTCCTTTGGTTTAAATATGTGTGCAGGCAAATAGCAATGCGCCACTGGATAAGGAAACAGCCACACTTGATATTCATAAAACACTGTTTTCCCTCTTTGTCCCAATGTAAGTACACGAAGTACACCATAGATCATTCTGTTGTGCCAAGCCAAGCAAGTCACCTAAGTATGTGAGAAGCAAGGATTTCTGTATGTTCTATTGGACCAACTATGTAGATGGGATAAACTTTGACAAGCTTCCAAATACAAGATATCAGTCAGGTCTCTGATCACAGGAAACCAGGTACAGCAAGTGAAGTGCAAGATAGGGGAGGGGCTGAGCTGAGAGAGATTCTCTGAGGAGTCCATCTCACCTTCCTTTTGTGGAAAGAATTCAGGACTTGGATCAACTATAATGGGCCATAAATCCAATATCAATGTTTAGTTCCTGGTGTCCAGTGAGCTTGTGAAGTTTTGTTCCCAAGTTTGCTTTTTAAAGGTGTTCAGTAGATTTCCCTTGAGCAAGGATAATGAGGTCAGGGAGGGAGTGGTCGTTCTGTGAGGAATGTGCTCCTAATGGTGAGTATATATCCCCGTCCATATCTTTTTTTTTTTTTTTTTTTT